TACCGTCCAATGTACACAATGTATTTTAATAATCATCAAATCGTTAATAAAATTATTATCATTGGTGCCGGGTAGATCAAACAATTCATTCTTGGTTGTTTGCTGCTTTATCTCGTGATGTATTAACCGATGTGCATGATATTAAACATTCATTTGGTATATGGGATCGGTTGCAATCTCTATTTATGTCTGCTAGCCACTACAACATTTCAACCCCTAATATACCACCCAAAAGTGTTATAATATCACTAAAAAGTGTTACATAAGAGAAAATGTAACACTTTTTGACCATTACATTTGGTCAAGTTACATTGACCTATTGTAACACTTTATAGTCCCTAATGTAACATTTATACTTCTATAAAGTGTTACATTAGGTTTTAAAAAGTGTTACACTAGAGATATATGTAACACTTTTATAGATATGTTACATCTTTAATGTTACGTTAGGTCTAAAAAATGTAGTAGTGAGCTTAGCTAGATCAATGGAGCTTAAACGTTTGCTGTCCAATAATAAAAAGAAAGAAAATCAATCTATGAAGCATTATTTACGTGATATTAAAAATTTTGATGATGCAAAGAATGAGTCTATTGTGAGCACCATCTCCTTGTTTCTCTAGAGTTTTCCGACTCACATTCTTCATCCCTGACATTTAGATGCGGAACAACATGTTCTTTTTTAGCATCAACAAGATAGCCCATCATTATAGCAAGCTTTTGAGGCTCAAGTTGGTGATGGGCAGCAAGGACAGGCCGCAGTAGGGGGCAATTTCGGTCGCAACATGGTTATGCACCGCCGGGCTTACCAGATTTACCCTCAGTATCCACTGCCTCTATTCCTAGCAGCTTTTGGATTGATGCTATTTTTACAGCAAAATATATTGTTAACACTTCCCTCTCCCACTCTTTTTGGTCTTTCTCCTAATGAAAAACTTTTCAAAAATCTCATGACTAAACTATGTTGCGAATTTTTGGATGTGCGTGTTTTCCCAATTTTTCTGCCTTTTCTTCCAATAAACTTTTTCCTCACTCTGTAGTCTATTCAATATGTTTTATTGGCTATGCTTATGGTTTTAAATATTATCGTTGTCTTTAGCCCAAGTTTGGTAAAGTTTTTATTAATCGACATGTTCGTTTTCATGAAAACATTTTTCCCTTTACCACTTTATCTTCTTCTACGAGTGTCACCTCCTCTTCTACTCCTGTCGATTTTTACCTCACCAATACCACTCCCATTTACCCGATATCTAATACCTCAACCCCACCGGAAATCCACATTGCTGCCTCCTTACCCAACCCAACACCACTACTGGTCCACTCCCCGCCACAACCTCCCTCACCCATCACCTGTCGCACACCGCCACCACACTCCCCGATGCCTGGCGAAACCCGACAGTCCCCTCCCATAACACCAATCTCACTTCCAACTGAGCCCGAAGCCACTGGCCGTGATGACAGTCTGGTGCCCACCCATACCACGGCCAACCCACCTTCTTTCCCCTCATCTACCACACACAGCTCATTGGCCACTATTCATCCAATGCAGACCTGGGCTAAATCGGGCATTTTTAAACCAACCCCCTTTTTTTTAAATTTAAATATGGTTGTTTTATACGCTGATCCACTTGCAGAAAAAGGTTTGTTTCTCTCTCAACATAAATATGTGTCTGACCTTCTCTCGGTTCTATTTGCATACTGTTAAGCATGTTCGTACTTGTAACACCCCGGCCCCGCAGGACCCGGGGTAATTACTCCAGACCTCTAGTACTGTCCTCACAAACCACCACTTTGTCCTCACTCATGCGCGCCCTGAGAAACTTCCCAGGGGGGTCACCCATCCCAAGACTACTCCCGTGTAAGCACGCTTAACTTTGGAGTTCTTGGGTAATGAGCTCCCTTAAAAGGAGTTTCACCTCTGTTGGTATGAGTAATACTATTAATCCTTTTAAATTAATCTCAAGTGTTACAATCACCCCCACTTAGGATCACAACATTCTCGTTGCGCCCTTAAACCATTCTCAAATCTCAATCAAATCCCAGAATCCTCCCCCGCTAAGTGTCCGCCCGATATCCAACGGGTCAGCACACTGTCGCAGGGTTGCTCTGATACCACCTGTAACACCCCGGCCCTGCAGGACCCGAGGTAATTACTCCAGACCTCTAGTACTGTCATCACAAACCACCACGAGCCTTTACCGCGCACTTTGTCCTCACTCATGCGCGCCCTGAGAAACTTCCTGGGGGGGGGGTCACCCATCCCAAGACTACTCCCGTGTAAGCACGCTTAACTTTGGAGTTCTTGGGTAATGAGCTCCCTTAAAAGGAGAAGCACCCCTGTTGGTATGAGTAGTACTATTAATCCTTTTAAATTAATTTCAAGTGTTACAATCACCCCCACTTAGGATCGCAACATTCTCGTTGCGCCCTTAAACCATTCTCAAATCTCAATCAAATCCCAGAATCCTCCCCCGCTAAGTGCCCGCCCGATATACAACGGGTCAGCACACTGTCGCGGGGGTTGCTCTGATACCACCTGTAACACCCTGGCCCCGCAGGACCCGAGGTAATTACTCCAGACCTCTAGTACTGTCCTCACAAACCACCACGAGCCTTTACCGCGCACTTTGTCCTCACTCATGCGCGCCCTGAGAAACTTCCCAGGGGGGTCACCCATCCCAAGACTACTCCCGTGTAAGCACGCTTAACTTTGGAGTTCTTGGGTAATGAGCTCCCTTAAAAGGAGATGCATCTCTGTTGGTATGAGTAGTATTATTAATCCTTTTAAATTAATCTCAAGTATTACAATAACCCCCACTTAGGATCGCAACATCCTCGTTGCGCCCTTAAACCATTCTCAAATCTCAATCAAATCCCGGAATCCTCCCCCGCTAAGTGTCCGCCCGATATCCAACGGGTCAGCACACTGTCGCAGGGTTGCTCTGATACCACCTGTAACACCCCGGCCCCGCAGGACTCGAGGTAGTTACTCCAGACCTCTAGTATTGTCCTCACAAACCACCACGAGCCTTTACCGCGCACTTTGTCCTCACTCATGCGCGCCCTGAGAAACTTCCCAGGGGGGTCACCCATCCCAAGACTACTCCCGTGTAAGCATGCTTAACTTTGGAGTTCATGGGTAATGAGCTCCCTTAAAAGGAGATGCACCTTTGTTGGTATGAGTAGTACTATTAATCCTTTTAAATTAATCTCAAGTGTTACATCTTGCCTCTCTCTCTCTCTCTCTCTCTCTCACTGATGGGGAGCTTCTTGCAGACAGCACTGAGTATCGTATTATGGTTGATGCGTTATATTATTTAACTTTGACACGACCTAATATTACCGATGTTGTGCATTTAATGTCTCATTTTATGCATGTTCCGCGCATTACTAATCTTTTTGCAATCAAGAGGATTTACATGTATTTGCAGGAGACACTTGATCATGGATTATTGCCGCGTCCTACTACACAAGCCACATGTGTTATTGCATATTCCGATGCTGATTGGACTGGATGTCCAGGTACGTCTCACTCCATGACAGGATTTGATGTGTTCTTAGGGCCGAACCTTGTCTCTTAGAAGTCCAAAAAGCATCATACAACGAGTCCTCTACAGAAGCAGAGTACAGAGCCATTGCGTACACTGTACAAGAAACGTTACGTGTTTGTTCGGTGTCATTTGAGATTGGTTTTCCTGTCAAAGCTCATGTTCAACTGTTTTGTGATAACATCTATGCCTTCTACTTGACTACTAATCCTGTTTAACATGCTCACAGGAAACATATTCAGATTCACAGAGATTTGGTTGTGAAGTATATTCCTACACAGTTAGGAATATTTGTTTCCTAAAATATGTTTAGGAATAATTGTTTCCTATTGTATTTGGACTCTCCTATTATATATACACATGTCAGGACTCCTATATATCGGAGAATCTTTTCCCATTATTCTCACACAAATTGCCAGTCTTCTTTGATATACAGTTGTGAAAAAAATTCACTATTGGTCCCATGACTACTATATCATATCCACATTTTCCCCTTGACTTTCAATTTAACCACATTTTTTCCGTGACCTTTTCCCCTTCACCGCTTGTCATCCTTCCGGCGACAACTCCGACGCATTTTAACTAGAAAGCCATTTAGTAAATGTATTTTGTTAAAACAGCTTCCTTCTAAATTAGCTCGACTTAATGTGTAGTTAATATGTTAGTCTCCCTCTCCCTGACAACCGAACTCTTCTCCCTATCAACCACGTATTAATGAGACCGACATATTAACTACGCCTTTTGTGTTTTAGCAACATATATTTACTAAAATGTCCCTAATATTTCTCCGTAAATGGTTTTCCGGTTAAAATGTACTGGAGTTATGGTCGGAAGGACAACGGGTGCTTAAGGGGAAAAAGTCACAGACTAAATGTGGTTAAATTGAAAGTCAAGGGAGAAATAAGGAAGTGGCATAATAGTCACGGAACCAAAAATGGAATTTTTTCTGTAGTTGTAGAAGGAAAGAGTGTTCTCTGTTGCAATTAATGTCCACTAATTGCGCCCTACAATATTGTTTAGTTTCTGTTTTTGAAAAAGGTTCTGCCTTTTTGTGTTTAAACTGCAGGCAGACACATGAGAGCAATCAAGTCATTTTTTTTGAGTTTGAGACCGAGTACTCATGTATGATGACTATGGCTATGTTTGGCAGGTATAAGTCATTGTCTTCTAGTTTATGTACTATTTAAAAAGTCTCTAAAAGCTTCTTGTTGTATGTCTAGTATGACAATCTTTAAGAGCTTTTCAAAAAATAAAAGATATTTTTTGAGATGCTACAGGGGGTAGCACCTGAGAAAACTCTGTGGCTTTTAGCATTAATAAGTCCCAACAACTTATATACCAAACCGAACTAAATCAAACAGTCAGTTTTTTACCAAACAGCTACCACCTTTTACTTCTAAGATCTTTTCAGTGAAAGCTAACACTTACTAAAAAGTTTATAAAAGTATCTTTTCAGCCAAACATACCTTATAAGTCATCTTTTGGTAAATCAAGTTTCTAGTCATAATATAAGATCGAAATTCAATGAGTTTTACTGCATACATATGTACACCATGCATTATATTGTGATGCATGCTAACCGCCGCAACGACTAGATCTCACCGCCTTCACCCAATTAATACGTACGTGACCGTATCGGTCGTCGTCGTCGTCTCTAAGATACATAATTGGATAAGTTAAGATACAAACCCGGGTTCGCCGCCCTCACATCTCGCCACCGTGCACGGCAGAGCACACAACTGAAGGATCTCCTGGGCTTGCTCTGCTTCCTCCATGCCTGCAAGCACTCCTCATGAATCGGGTTCTTACACGTTCCGCAGGCTGCTACTCTCCGCTCTTCCCTCTCTATTTCCTCCAAGCAAACCGGGCATGCCGCTCCCTCCGGTATCACCATTACTGGGTGCCGCAGCCTTTCCCGAGAGAAAAGCTGGTGGAACTTTTCTCGCAACTTTGTCCCGGCGACTGCATCTGCAGAGGTTGGCAAGCCTAGTAGCCGGTTGAGCTGTTGTGGCGGAAGACTCTTCCTCCATATGCATGGATCGTGGAGCTCAAGTCCTAGTACCTGCATGTACATAAACCATATTATATGGGGGTAGGAATAGGCTTGATGTCGAGTCAGGGGCCCGTGACTTGGCCTGTTAAAGGCCTGATCTGACTTGTTTGATAATCAACCAAGGCTTAGGCTTTTCAAAAAGCTCATTTATTTGTATTCCTTTTATTTATCGTTATTTGTATTTCTTATATATATAAATATATTTAAAGTAGTATACTTAGTTTAACTATAACAAGTTGGGCATAAAAGTGTTTTTATGGAGTGTGTATTTTAAATAAGAATACTATTTGAAATTTATAAAGAGTGTTAATGGGTTATTATGGTCATTAAATTCAAATCTTTTCAAGATTTTTTTTATCGTCAAAACACAGGCTTAAATTCATATCACAACATTCAGATATGGGGTAAAACAACAAAAGGATCAAAGACAATCGACAGTCCTCAAACCAGACTTAGAGTCAATCACATCCAAAAAAAGCAATACAACTCACTGATCCTATAATGGGCTTAAATGAACCAACGACGGTTAAAACAGACATCCCATAACCCAATCCTAATGCAAGAGTCTTACAAAAATAAAAGTAATCAACAGAAAAATAAATAGTCTGATCATGAAAAATAAATAACAACCAAACAGTAAAATTAAAATACTGCTTCCAAACCCTAAACTCTCCTGCACTCCATGGCGGCGGTTCATGGCGGCGGTCCAGGAGGCCGGGGACGGTCCAATAGTATTGTAGCATCTTCCGCTCCTTACCTCTGGTCCAGATCTGTTCCAGCCCCTAGCCCCACGCTTTGTCCATGACCTTCTAATCTCAACCATGAACGGCATCCCCGAAACTCTCCACCTGCTGCTAGGGGGTACACAACATTTGGCCGCCATATAGGCGATGCGGTGTGCCGAAGAAGAGAGCCTTATGAAAGGCGGACGAGAGTCGCACAAGAAAGCCGCACTTTGTCGAAGACGAAAGCGGATAAAACAACCCTTAACCCTAGGGAGACGGCCGCCTAGAGAGAGAAGCTCTCGCCTAGAGAGAGAATGGCAATTACTTCTTCTTATATAATTTTTCATTTACTTTTTTCCTACTCAAACACAATCATGCATCTTCACTTTATTCCACTTTCTTAATAATCGTGCTAAATTAAAGTTGAAAGTGTTTTTGGGACGGCAAGAGTATTTGAAAATGAACCATTAGCAAAAGCTTTTCAAGATTTGAAATACATAAAAATTTATAAGCTACATTAGTAACATATTATTAGACATTCAAAGCAAAACTAGCGTATTATTAGACTTTTTAGTGATTATGTCGGGGGCTAAATTTTATATTAGGCTAACATAATTAGTCACTTTCAATTTTTAGTTTTTTTTAAACTTTTGATTTTTTTCTTAACAGGCGTACTAAACAGGCTTCAGGCCAGGCCAGGCCAGGCTCAAGCCGAAAGAACTGGCCTTAAACAGGTAACATGTCAGACTCAGGCAAAAAAAAAAACAGGCCTTAAACAGGTAGCATGCCAGACTCAGGCCTATACTTTCTAAAGTAGGCCCATCCTGTTTAGGCAAAAGCCTGACCTGGCATGTTTCTACACCCGACATATCTCATACTCATCAAAATACGGAGTATATATAAATTTAATGTAATATGGACTATAAATTCAAAATTTGAAAATTAACACTCCGTATTTAATTCTTCTCACTTTAAATTTACAAAATCTGAATTTTTATATGGAATATGTTTTACTAGGGATGAGTTCAAATGAGAAAACATCTTAACGTGTAAAATGAGAATTAATCTCAACCATTCAAAGTGTCGATCTGATGCACAATAACCCCTATCTGATGCACTTTCGAATAAACCTTATTTGATGCACTTTTCGTCTCATTTTACACGTTAATATTTTTTTTATTTGATCCAAATTGTGTTTTACTAATAAAGAATTACTCCGTACTTATATTAATCGCAAAACTTGTGCGCTGGAAAATTCAAAAATGAAAACTTTGTAATTATGGAGCTAGCTAGTGTATGTAGGTTAGTTGATGGGAAAAAAGTATGGAGTGCATGTAAATGAGGAAAACGTTTTCAGAATAAATAAAGACATTGTCCTAAATAAAAGTAAAGTAGGTTAGTTCCAAAATAGGAGTTCCCCATGATTTATTCCTTGAATAAGAGTTATCAATTGATTGAGTCATTTCTTTTTGCAATTATAACTTTGTATAGCTACCCTAAATTAATTTAAATTCTTTATTTCAGACTTCTTTTCTAACACACTCTTTTCGGACACCAGACGACCGCGGCAGCCACCACCCTAAACCCTAACCCTAAATACTAAATACATATATGGATATTTTTCTCCATACACAATATATTATTTCTAGCTATTTAGGGAAATTAAATCACGTACTCCCGTTTTATGCAATTTCATTATATTTAACTCTTAGAGAGTATTGATATTCCTTTGACTTGGCAATATACTTGGAAATATAAATTGTACTCTATGATTTATGTTTATGGTTAAGATTTTACATTTACTTCAACTACAAAACTTTACATTTATGTCAACTACAAATATTTTTTAACGAAATGCGATGATAACTTTTGGACTAAACGAAAAGTGAAGTATAATACTCTAATGTTTTTGTCAAATAAGTAATATGCACTAATCATAATTCATTTTGAAATGTAGTACAATACTATAAGGGTTTTGTCAAATAAATAATGCACTGATCATAATCTATTTTGAAATATAAATACGAATTAGTATTTATGAAATGTGCATTATATTTTAACATGTATTCATAATTCATTCTGCATAAGCCACTAATCACAAGTAATTATAAACATGTATAATTGCACCTTTAATTTAATGATAGTTATGTGAAGTTTTAAATACATTGAATATATTACAGAAAAGAAAAGTAAGAAGAAAAGATGAAAATGCACAGTGTTTTCTCCTATGATTCTGGTTTCCAAAGGAGAAACGTAAAGTAGACCTAATACCCTTAAAGCAATTATAGTGTCATAAAGAGAAGTTGCTTTAAAGAGTAGTTATTATTGTTATAGTAGAAAATTAATAAACACTCGCAGATTCACGATTGAAATGACAAACTATGATTGTATGATTTCAGAATGACAATAATTCACTCATGTTTCGAGAAAACATAGTACCCATGCATATTTTCGAATTTTACATAATTTTTATCACCATTTTACAAAACTTTCCCTATCATGGACTAAATTAAAAAATGTCACTGAGAAAATTTCCTAAATTCGGAGTAGATATAAAACACTTTCTCAAATAGGAAGACAACTTCGTTGTCGTTGTGTTAAGAAGAAAAGATGAGACAATCTTAGTGTGAGAAGAGTAATTGTGTTAAGATTTGGGGTTCCATCCTAAAAGGTCAACCTGATAGGAGGAGTAGCTCAAAGCCTTATATAGTGTTTAATTGTTTTATAGCTTTCTGGTGTGGGACAAATGCTTCAACACGCCCCCTCAGTCCGAACCGGGCTAGACAATATCGGGGTGTATAAACGGGCCAAACAAGCCCTTAAAAAGCTACCCTTAATCATGGGTGCTAAACAAGCCATCAAACCACAACCGGAATTGCCTCTGATATACTACCTCCGTCCCCCTAAGTTTGGGACAAGAGAAGGTGGCACGATTATTAATAAAAGTGGGTTTATGTGGTTGATATTGAATTGATAAAGTAAGAATAAAGTAGAAATGATTTAGAACCACACAAACTTTACCAAATAAGGTATGGGACAATCTTAGTGGGACGGACTGAAATGGTAAAATGGGACAATCATAGCGGGACGGAGGGAGTACCATGTTAAGACCCGGGGTTCCATCCTAAAAGGTCAACCTGATAGGAGGAGTAACTCATGTCTTAATTTAGCACTTTGTTGCCTCAATGTTTTCCGGTGCGGGACTTTTACAAATTGTTATAAAAAGTAGTAGTATTGCATATAATGGAGGAGTGGAGGACTTAGGGAGCAAGTGCCTGACCCCACTTCCGGCCTGGAATTTCACTAGTAGTACTTATGGTAAAAACCAGTGCCCCCACCCTTACAAAAAAATTATTATTATTTTTCATTGTAGGTTATTGATCATATTAGTCTCGAGATGGAGAATCACTTTAGTGGGTCAAACATAGAATTACTGAATTACCCACTTGTTTAACATTTCTTGATTCCAAAGATTAGTTCTCAAATTTCCACGAATCAAAGCTACTGAACCTCACGGAGTTATATTCATGTGATTTTTATCTGTTGATCGAAGGAGCTGAAAGAGGGACTTAAGGTGTAGATATATGAAATGAGAACAAATGAATTACTTTATGCCGCACAAACTATTGGTGAAGTTTGTAGAAAGATGGTTGAGCTTAAAGTTCACAATTCTCTTCACTTGACATATCGTTCTATTGAGTTGGCTTTGGTGTTACTAGTTTCAATAGTCAATGTTAAAAGAGCCTTCTCCGCGATGAATATTGCGATGAATATTGTCAAGACAAATATTCCCAATAAGATGAGAGAGATATTTTTTGAAGCATTGTTAGTGAAACATTGAAACTATTTTGCAATATTTACTTACAACCTTGATTTACTGAAGTTGCGGTAATGAACTATTTAATATGTAAATAACTACTATGTATAATTTATTCTACCGAATTACTTTTTACCATTTTTATCAGATTTGGAGTTTTTATTAATTACTTTTTACCATTTTTATTAGATTTAGAGTTGTTATTAATTATAAAGTAAGTTTAGTTTCCAGTGTGCCCCACTCTCATAAATCTTTGAGTGTGCCGTGGATTTTTATATCACTATATATGTAATGTAGGACAATAATATGTAGGTATATAGACCGATATGATGAGTCATTATTGGATGTGTTTGGCATACTTAGATGAAAAGATAATTTTTGAGCTTTTAGTGATTGAAAAGATTTTGGTCGAGACTTTCTCTCTCTAAGGTGGATTTCCATCACTAGGGTTTTCTTCTCCGCTATCGATTCTTTTGAGGAGCGGTCGTCTCCCTACACTTGTTAGGGTTTTTTGTTCCGCCGATCGAGTTTTGTTCGTGCGGCTGGGTTTTTCGTGGAATGAGAGCTTCATGATTGAAGTTTCGGAACGTGAGTGAAACTTAAGGGCAGTGGGGTGTGGTTTGAATTTTTTGGGCGAAGAAAGACAAGACAACATGATAGAGTTTTCTTCTGCACCTCGGACATGGATTTCAATGGCAAATATCAAGGAGCAAATTGGCGAGAGCAAATTGGCAAGCGCAAGAAGAATAGAGTTTCAGACGAATTTTTCGGGGGATGAAATTCTCTTCTACCATACTGCAGCAGCTATGGTTGGAGTATTTTGATTTTTAAAGAACTTTTGACATTTCATTTTCGATCATTTTAGGCTTCTTCTTGTACGTTTTGTGTGGGTACGTAGCTGACTCTAAGTCTATTCCTAGGGCTTATGATAAAATTTGTAATAGGTGTTTGAATCTTGTCTTGCATGTTTGCTCTATATTAATAAAAAGTCGTTTGATGATAAAAAAAAATGATTCAAAAGATTTTTAAAGAAAATTATTGTTACCTTTTAATAAAAAACTATTTGTTTGATTTAATTATGTTTGATTTAACAACTAGTTGTGACTAACATATATGCTAAAAGCTATAGATTTACTCTCACAAGCTAACTAATGTAACTTGTTTAAGAGATCAAAAAGACCTTTGTCTATTTCTAATATGAAGTATATCACTTAATTCCTTCAACTAAATAAATAAGGACTATTGAAAAATCCTACTCCACATAAAAATTCATATAAATTTGAAAAATAATAATATAAAAAATAATATAAATGGGAAATAGAAAATAATTTAAAAATGGTAAAATAAAAATAAAAAATAAAAACTGAAAAAATAAAGTGAAAACGTAAAATAAAAAATTAAATGTAAAACCGCTTTTAAAAAGATGCAGAATATGCAAAAATTCTGAAAATTCAAAAATATTGACTTTGATGTTCTAAAATTTTTCACAATTTTTATATGTAGTTCTTCAAGTTTTTTAGATTTTTGATATAATACACTTGCTATTACAAGTCAATAACCGATTAAATGATCAAATTGATCAATTTTTAAAGTAAAATTACCTTATATAATACTACTGCATACGTAAGTAGTACTTTTTTTTATCATCAAACGAGCCTCTATTCATATCAAAAGATTCAGGATCATTACATCAAGCAAAAGGAAAATAAAACTGACACCAACTGAAACTTCAACAACTACGACTGTAACCCTATGGTGAGACTTTGAGACGGTCACCCCTGAGAGAGCAACACGAATCGCTAACCATGTAGTGGGCTTGACACAGCCAAACCTATTCCCATAGATCCAACCATACCCAATGACATAAAGAGAGGCAAAAAACTCAAACAAACTGTCAAAACCAACAACAAAAGTGGACACAAGAAAACAAATAACAAACAGATAAAAACTACAAGAAAAGCGTTCACGAACTCTAGCACCTCATACATCCCATGGTGGTGGTTCAGGAGGAGGTCTTACCACCGGTACCATGCTAATTGATACTCCGTGACCTTTGTCTGCCAAAGGCCATGCATCAATCCTCTATCACTGCATAACCAAACCCATCCCTGCTTCATGCAACCAGAGTAAACGGATAGGCGGCGCCGATCTTCTCCAACGACGAGAACAATACATCATCCTCGAACCTTGATCACAATGCCGATCTCCTCGAGCCATGACAGCAAATCCGCCCTTCGAGTATGAAGCACAAACAACAACGGCCGTCCTTCGATTAAAATCGAAGACGGAAAAAGCGGCCATCCTTCGATTAAAATCGAAGACGGAAAAAAACTCCAAGCGGCCGAAGCCCTAGAGAGAAGCGAGAGACGATCGAACTTTTACGTAAGTAGTACTTTTTTAGTATATAAAAACTTAAGTGATGAATTGAAAATAGGAGAAATTACTCCAAATAGGAGTAAAAGTAAGGTAAAACTCAAAAATAGGACTTCTTATGTTTTTATTCCAAAATAGGACCAATTTACTCCTATTATGAAACATAGAGAATTTGGCATCGCATTTTTACCCCTGCAGTTATTTATTCTTCTCTCTCACTTTCTCTCCCCACAAATGGATCGCACTTCTCTAGGCTAAAAAACCGCACTCATCTTCACCGATCTACTCTGCAAATCGTCTTCTCCCTTCCAGACCCGTGATTTCGCTGCAGGCCATCGCACGCCACCTCCGCTGCCTCACTGCACACCACCTCCGCTGCCTCCACCTACACCACCTCTGCAAATCATCTTCTCCCTTCCAAGTTCCAAATCGTCTTCTTCCATATTTCAGGTTTTTAACTTCTTCTTCTCTTCTTCTTCTTCATCTTCCTCCTCCTCTTCACCTTCTTCGTTTTTTTTCTTCGTATTTCTATGATTTTTAGGGTAATTTACATTCCTCTGATTTTTTGGATAATTTTTACATTAATTTTGTCAATTTTCAAATTTATATTTTCGTATTTTGATTTCTGAGTATTTAAACATTTTTTATTTTCCAGATTTTTGGATGATAGGCATAGAATTTTGCCAAGTTTGTGGCAGAAATAATGTATACTGACAATCGGATTATGGCAGAAATGTTTTTGAGTAAATCGGCTTTTCTAATTTTTTTTCCTTTTACTTCGTGTTTCTGATTCTATTAGAGTTTTTATTCCATTAATTTTTTTCGAACATTTGCTAATTCCTTTCATGTTTTTGCCAAATTTATGGCAGTTTTCAATTATTATTCCAAGATAAATCTGCCAAATATGTGGCAAATTTAAAATTCATGTTCATGGCAGATTTGAAATTAATTTAGACTAAATATGCCAAACATTTGGAAGTTGCTGGCATTGGAGTTGTGACAGTGGCGGTCGTGCCCGGAGGTGATGTGGCGGCCCTGGAGTTCACAATGGTGGTGCTCGGAGGATGGTGGTGGTGGTGGTGGTGGCAGGTGGGCGGCAAAGAATGGTCACACTAGTTTGGATGCGGCGGTGAGGCTGGAGGAAGACAGTACTAGCGAGGGTGGCACCGGAGAGACGGCGGCAGGCGGCGCCGGCGAGACGGCGGCAGACGGCACCAGTGAGATGGTGGCAGGCGGCGTCGAGGAGGCGGTGGGTAGGCTGTAGCGGCACCGAAGGTCGGGGAACTGCTCATGTTGAGAATTAGGTTTCATTAGATTTTTATTTATAAATTCAAAGAATAATTTAATGGGGGCATTTTTGTCCAAGCAGGTGATTATATGTCCTATGAAACATACTTTTGTTTTTTGGTCCTATATGTGAACATCGGTCCTCTTTTAGTCTTAAACAGATAATTAACCCTTGAAAATAATAAAAAAAGTTTATTTGACCATGGAATCTACTTTTTTTTGTTTTTGTTTTTTGATCATACCATTTTATATATCTTTTTGAAATGGGGGATAATGAGGGTGGGAGGGAGAAATGGAATAGGTACCGACCCGGATCATGACGAAGAGAATGTGTTTGCAAGGAGCAGTAGGGTCGGGGCATGTGCAATGTATGGTGGCGCCGCCGAGGTTGACAGTGTAAACGTTGGCAGTGGCCCCCAGCACGAAGAACAGCGCGTCGGAGCGGTGGAGGAGGCGGAGCGGGTGACGGAGGGCACGGATGATTCGATCCGCGAGCGCCTGCGTCGGCGCCGCAGCAATATAATCATTGCTCGAAGGCTCCGCCGCCGTCGAACTCGAAGCACCGCAATCCATATTTAATTATTTGATCGCAGTTAATTTAAGTAATCAAGGATCGAAATACTCCGATCGATCCGTATAATTTAATATGTATGTATGTATGAATGTATACTCCATGCATAAAATACAATGAATTGGTGCGTCAGGTAAGGCAGGTATATACGTACGTAGAGGATGGGCAAATCAACACTCATACTTTGAATAGTTTTGAGGGACACGTGAGGGATCCCTTTATATATTAGCACAACACATTTACGAGCAAACGTCAACCAAGGATATACTTCGTATAATTACCGAGTATTAATTATTAGTATGTACGTAGTACTAGTATAAGTTAGAAATTTCTTCAAAATTGTTTCATTTTTTTGGCTTCATCTCATTGTCTTATATCAAATTGATAAAGTTTGTGTAATCATTCTCGTGTCACCTCATTATGTGCTAATGTTAGTGGGACGAAGATAGTAGTATTCAAATGAATCAATTTTTGAAAGAAAATAATAATAGTTGTATGAATGTAGTGTTATCGATCTATTCTATTTCCGCTATCAACTTTTTTCATGTGGTGTAGTTTTCCATCTGGTGAATCCCAAGTTTCTCACCTCAAATTGTACACACCGGTATATCTCCTTACCAATTTCAACCACATCGATCAATTTCAACGCTTCTTCCATCCTGCTATACTGATTTTTCTAAAGGAAAAATGGGTCAAATAAGTCATTCTACTATTTTCAATCCGTCTCTTAAGTGCCTGTACTAAAAAAAGTATCATATGGGTACGCCTACTTCATAAAATGGATCAATTTGACCATTTAATAATTGTTTGACTTGTGTTAGCAGGTTTTTAAAATTTAAAAACTCTAAACAAATTGTTAAAATTTGAAGAAATATAAAAAAAATTATGAAAATTTTCAGAATATCAAAGTCAATATTTTTTATTTTTAAATATATTTGTATATTCTACATCTATTTGAAATATTTTTAATTTTTTATTTTTAAGTTTTTTATTTTCACCTTTATTTTTTCAGTTTTATGATTTTTTTTTACTTAAATGTTTTTAAAAAAAATCTATTTATACATTCATACTATTGTTAAAATTAATATTAGATTATTTATTCAAATTTATATGAATTTTGTAAGATTTATCAATATTCCTAATTTAATTTTAAAGAAAAATAACCTGCTATAGCATGTCAAAGGGCTTGGTTGATTGTATTTTGAAAGTATATGTACTTATATGATATATACTTTTTTTAGTATAGGAGCTTAAGGGACGGATTGGAATTAGTAGAAGGGCTTATTTGACCCTTTTCCTTTTCTAAATAACAGGATGAAAAATCTATTTGCCAAAACATTCTATGGCAATTGAAGTACTGGTATTATATATGATCAAATAATCTAACTGTAGGGCAATTGATTCTAGCAAATTTTAGGTCTTTAAAATGATAATTAAAAACTCTATGATGATTGCAGTTTCTAAAATTTCAAGGATGATGAGTCCTTACTAGCTAGACGAAATGTAAAAAGTCAAGTATGGATGTTTTTACTTGGACTGTAATTTGCTGGTATGATCGGGTCTGGTCTGAACTAGTCTGGTCTGGTCTGGTAATGTCTGATCTCTTTGTATTTTTATAATTATCCAAGTCTAGTCTGGTCTAGTCTAGTCTGATCTGGTCTGGGACAATTACAGTCCAGGTAAAAACATCCTATGTTGACTCCACATGGATTAGTTTTTAGATGAGATCTTATCTAACCGTAGAATAGTCCATTTAAGATCATTTTATGTATTATAATTCCTAAAACTCTAAAGAGACTAAGTGTGTGTGTCTATCTAACGAGCTTCTCTCTATAGGCAACTGTCTCCCCTAGTGAGACTCTCTTCTTCGGTAGACTGCAACGCCTATATGGCATTGACATGCACTATTTCCTAGTGCATAAGTTTGTTATTTTATTATTATTTGATTGTTGTTTTTAATTGTTTAGTTTAGTTTGTGATGTACTCTTTAGATTTATTTTGTAGGTTTTAATTAGTATTTTTAGTGTGTATTTTGTTGTAAGTACCATAAGGGATGCAAGGAAGTATTATAGGCACCAAAGGAAGGCAAGATGAATGGTGGAAATAAATTCTGGTAGCAAACCCGGTCGGGTTGAAATATAACCCGGTCGGGTTGGAAGTGACAAATGAAGCCAAAGGGAAGCTACGCACCAAAACCCGGTCGGGTTGAGTTGACAAGAACAAAAGAACGTGTCCAAGATCAAGAGAACGTGGGAAATATCCGATTTGATACGTAACCCGGTCGGGTTTTGACCCAACCCGGTCGGGTTGAATGTGATTTCAGCACCTTCCGAGCAATTAAGGATACCCGATCGGGTATTCTACATACCCGGTCGGGTATCAAACCCAGCCACCTCAAAATACCTATAAATACACCCCTTTTCCTTCCCATTTTGATCACCAATTCCTATACACTTCTAAGCTCAGTTTAGTTAAGTACTTTCTTTATATTTTTATCATGTTTAGTCTCCAAATGAGGAGCTAAACTCTTCCATCTTGGTTTTGCTACTTTGAAGCTTAATGAATTTGTAAGTTGTGAGTTATTCTCTTTAATCTTCTTCCTTGAATATTAATTCTTCCTTTAAATACTATTTCTATATCAATGTTGGGGAATGTTACTAAGATGACAATTAGTTAACATCTTGACATTGGTTATAGTAATAGCTATTTCTTCCTCTATGTTAATATTGGGGAGTGTTACTAAGATGACAATTAGTTAACATCTTGATATTAACTATAGTAGGATTCATCTTCTTTAATATTCTTCCTTGAGTATTAATTAATTCCTATTCATATTTCATATTAATATTTTGATCATTACTTAAAGGATCAACTAGTTTTGTTTCATATATTAATTATTACTAGAATCGGTCGATTAATACGCTTGTTATTAATTCGGTCCTTTCACGATAGTAAACTTGGGTTATTAATGCATGCGTTTCATGGTTAATAAACCAAGGGGAATTAATTATATTGATTAAACCAATAAACCGCTTGTGTTGAGGTTTTCAATCTCAATCGTTTTCATCTTGATTTTATTGCTACTATCGAGTGAATATACGGCGCGTGTTCTATATTAACCCGGTAGTAAGTTTTATTAATGAACGCGTCTCGTTATTAATAACTACCCTTGATGAATTGGATATACTCCTCGATTGATTATTCGAGAGGAAGATAGTTAAAGATATAATCGGGATCGACGAACATTTCATTAAGTGGATAAAAGCAAAGGCAAGTCTTCTTCTCATTAATTAAACCACATAAGTCGTTCATCTTTGTGTTTAAATATTCTTAAAAGTTCTTCAAATCAAACTTTAAACCCCCCTTGTTACTAGTTACATAAAAAGAGAAGTATTCCTTTCCCTGTGGATACGAACCTTACTTCATTATACTACGTATCATTGTTGTATTGAATATTATTTTGAGTGCACATCACGACAAAGTGCACGTCAGCAATCAAAGGCTGTGTACCCCTAGCAATAGGTGGAGAGTTTCGAGGATGTCATTCATGGTTGAGATCAGAAGGTCGTGGACGAGCTAGGGGTTGGAACAAAACTGGACCGGAGGCAAGGAGCGGAAGAAGATACAGTACTGTTAGACCGTCCCCCTCCTGAACCGCCGTCATGGAATGCAGGAGAGTTTAGAGTTTGGAAGCAGTATTTTAATTTAACTGATTGCTTGCTTTTTATTTTTCATGATCAGACTATTTATTTTTCTGTTGGTTACTTTTATTGTTGTAAGAATCTTGCATTAGGATTGGGTGATGGGAGCTCTGCTTTAACCGTCCTTTACTCATTTATGCTCATTATAGGATCAACGAGTTATATTGCTTTTTGGAGGTGATTGACTTTAAGTCTGGTTCGAGGGCTGACGGTTGCTTGTAGTCATTTTGTCGTTTTACTCTCTATCTGAATATTGTGATATTAATTTAACTCATCTGTTTTGATGATAAAAAAAACTCTAAAGAGACAACAATTTCGAAATTTTAAAGGGGTGTCAGTGTGTACTTGTTAGACTGAAATGCAAAGACTTAAACATGTGCCTTTGTCAACATACCAAAACACTACTAAATTTTCAGCTTAGATATGGCTTTACTTAATTCTTCAAACTTTGATTCCTACGGGAGTGTTCGTATGTACCATCCCAAAAGGATTATGAGTATCCTTTTAGTGCTCAGTACGAACATTAATATTAGTGCTTTCATTTATATTAATCCATAATTAATCCCTTGCATCGATCCAGTAGGGAATGCAAGTGGCAATTACTCGTAATTTGAACTCCATGGCTCATGGATTCTAAGTGATGATGCTTTGAGAGGTTGTAGTTGAGCACTCGAGGCACACTACAGTAGTGGACATGGATGCACCCCTAGGCGACATGATGTCTGACACTTCATACAAACCTTAGCTTGGGAGGAGAAGGCATCCTAGTAGTTTTACTAACCACACCAAATAGGAGGAAGGGTCACCTAACGAGAGCGCCTAAGGTGAATGTACAAAGATGACTCATATCACCACTTTCATCAGGCGACACCCTAGAAGAACCCTAAGAGAGGTGTCACACTGAATCCTACTCTCATGTGTGTGAGATTGTAATAAGAGGGTCTACCAGTCTGATTCAACCCTGCACTGAACTTGCTAATGCGAGCCCAATGCCTGTTATAGTGGAAGAACTAAGGTAGAGGATGGAAAACCTGATGAGAGTTTTCGGGGGAGATTCGTGCATGGCCATCCTCCACATTTGAGAAACATTCAACCAAGTTGTGAAGGAAATGTCATTGTTAATGAGTTACAGACATTGCAACCTTAAGGTGTATAAGTTACCTTTCGTCCCGCCACACCATACAACATGTTATATGTTATATATTGTTATAATAGGATATATATGAAGATGCCATACATTGATGGGGATACTCATCCACTCTGGACAACTTTGCTCGGAAATGGTATAGAACCTTGCATGACTGAAGCATCGTCAATTTCAGGGAGTTTGAGAGAAGCTTCCTTTTGAGGTTTGACATTTCTATGGAAGAGAGGAACCTCTATTAGATTTCATTTCTAGGTAAACACCTGAGTGAAT